CTCAAAACAAGGAAACACTTAGGTGTAAATCTGATAGAAGATGCATAAGCTCTATGTGAGGAAAACTATAAAACCCTGATAAATGAATCCAGGAAGAACAAAATAAATGGACATATAGTCCATATTAATTAATAGGAAAGTTCAATATTAAAACATATCATTAGCTACTTGACACATTTACTTTCAATGAAATCTCAAAATCTCAGCAAGTTATCTTGTATGTATCAGCAAACTGATTCTAAAATTTATACAGATGGGTGATTTGATAATGTAGAAATACCTGTTTGGGTTATCCAAATACCATCTCAATTAAAATAAATAAAAAATAAAATTTCATGAAGAAATAAAAAAAATAATTAACAGAATGACCAACACAATGTTGATGGAGAAGAACAAAGTTAGGTCTGACACTTGCTAATTTCAAAACTTATTCTCAGACTATCGTTATCAGGACAGTGAGGCATTGTCAAGAAAGAGTACACAAGTAGATCAATGGGGAAAAATATGAAAACTATAACAAATATATTCACCTGGTCTTTGACAAAAGGGTAAAATCAATACTATGCAGCAAAAAATAATCCCGTCAATACTTGGTAATGGAACAACTGTACACACACTAAAAAAATCAACAAAGAACCTTCACAAAAATTAACAAAATATATCACAGATCTAACTGTAAAGTACACAGCTATAAAATTCCTGGGAGAAAAGGGCCCTCCCTGGTGGCGCAGGGGTTAAAGCACTGCACTAAGAAGCTTAAGTCACTTCTGCATGAGTTCGATCCCCACCTGCCCAGGAGGCGACCACATGGCATGGCAGACCTCCCCTGACCCCGCCCGCTGCTCCCCTCAGCAGTGTACTTCATCAATCTGCCTGTTCTGCTCCCCACTCTGTCTCTGGTGAATCCTCTCACCCTCCGCATCTCTGGCCTGTACCCCAGTTCTATACAAATGAATAAATAAATCTTAAAAAAAAAATTCCTGGGAGATGATGGAGAAAATTTAGGTGACCTGGGATATGACAATGACTTTATAGGTGTAACTCTACAGGCACAACCCATGAAAGAAATAATTGACAAATGGAACTTCATTAAAGGTAGACACTTTAAGCATAATCCCTTCCAGCTATGTCCATGTTGCTGCAGAAGGCATCAGTTTATCTTTTCTGAAATGAGCCAGAAAGAAAAAGAAAAATCCTGAATACTTGCACTCATTGTCGGAGCATAAGGGATCAGGAAAAATACTAACAATAATAATAATAAAGCAATTGTAATAAAGTAAAAATGAAAATCAGTGAACAGCTATAAGCCAGATACATTCTGTGGGGGCGGAGAGAGGAACAGGATGAAAACTAAGGTGGGAAGAGCACTTGGGACTATGATGATGGCACATGGGTGAATTGGTGGTGGGAAGTCCACGGGATTACAACTAAGATGAAAAAATGTACAAAATGAAGAATGATATAAAAAATATATTTTAATGGGCTCTCTCTGGTGGCTCAGTGGGTTGGTGCTGCACTACAAAGTCAAACCGTGGCCTCCTCAGTGCGAGTTCTATCCCCACTCTGGAGGTGATACTCAGGGTGCAGCAAACTGCTCCTGTCTCTCCCGCTGCTTCCCTCAGCAGTGTACTTTGTTGATCTGCCTGTTCTGCTCCCTACTCTGTCTCTAGTGAACTCTCTCACCATCCCTGCACCTCTGGTCTGTGGTCTGTACCCCATTCTGTATGCGTAAGTAAATAAAATCTAAATTAGTAAAGTAAGTTAAAAAAAAAGAACTTTTCACTTTATTGCATTTGAAAAAATTGGAATTTTTGCTCTATAATAAACAATGTCAAGAGAATAAAGACAAGGGATAAACTTGGAGATTGCAGAAAACACACCTGATAAAGGAGTTATCCAAAATATACAAACGACTCTTAAAACTCAAAGTAGGAAAAAAAACGTAAAGAGTGAGTCATACCTTAACAGACAGTTCACCAAAGAATATACACAGATGGCAGGTAGGACATATGTACAGATGTTCCGCATCTTACAGCAGTACAGAAATGCAACTTAAAATAACAAGATACTATAAGAGAATGCAAATGGTCTCTTTTTGGTCACTTTGGAAAACAATTAGGCAGTTTCATAGACAACTAAGTATATTCTTGCCATATGATCCAAGTATCATATTCCTTGTTATTTCCAAAAGGAGTTGTAAACCTATGTCCACACAGAAGCCTATACACAGAGGTTTCCAACAGCTTTATTTGTATTTGCCAAAACTGGGGAGCAACCGTGTTGTCCTTCAGTAGATGAATGGATACATGGACTGTGATATATTCAGAAAATGAAATAGTAATCTACACTAAAAAGTGGAAAATGTGGAGGAATCTGAAATACATGTTACTAAGTTAAAGAAGCCACTCTGAAAAGGCTACATGCTATATTACATTTTGTCTACTATATGTTCAAAGACAAAAGGATGGAGACAGTAAACCACCAGTGGTAGCTGGGGCAAGCAAGGGAGGTGATTAAATAGGTGGGGCCCAGGATTTCTAGGGCAGGGAAAGTATGACACTGATGGCAGGTGTGTCATTCATTTGCGCCAATGCATAGAATGTAAGGCACTGAGAATGAAACAGTGTAAGCCATGGACTTGGGATAATTATGGTGTGTCAGTGTGGGTTCATTGATGATAACAGATCTGCCACTCTAGTGGGGGTGCTGATAATGTGGAAAGCTAGATTTGTGTTGGGACGGAAGGTAATTGAATAATCTTTCTACCTTCTTAATTTTGCTGTGAACCAAATACTGCTCTAGAAAAAAGAAATCACTTGGTGCTTTGTGCCATCCTCAGACCAAAAAGGAAATTACATTTCATCCCGCTTTTAAGTAACTATTTCTATTTACAGTGTAGGAGTTTCTGTTGTTAATAGATTTTTAAGAAGAGGAAAATTTTCTGGCACTGAAATTATTTTAAAAACTATCTAACAGGTTTTATTAAATATTAGCTATTATTAAAACAAGCAAGGGCTTATAATTCTCACCACAATGCTTAGATTATTCTATTTGTATTTCAACTTTAAGGAAATGGAGGTACTCTGATTTCAGAGGATCCAGTAACATTTTCTAGTTAGAAATTTCCTAGTTCAGAAATTCTGCATTGACAAGAACTATGATATCAGGCAACTTAATGTTCTAATAAAAGTCATCTCTTGAAATTTAGTGTATTCCTTCCCAGCTAAAATATATATATAGATATATCTACATATGTATGTAGATATATCTATATATATATTTATACACATATATATGTATATGCATACATATATATATATACACACACACAAACATATATATGTATATATAGATGCTTTCATATTCTACTCAAGCTGAGGTTCCTAATAGAGGAGATATAGGTAGAGCACATGATAGAAGAGGCAGATTCCATCTAATAGTGCACACTGTCTAGGAAGATGAATTGGAAACATAAAGAGCTAATAATACCAAAGATTGTCTTTGCTAGGTTATCTTTTATACATTAATTATACAGAAGAGCCTGCTCTAATGGATACTCTTTTTCTGTAGCATTTTTTTTTCTTGAGAGTAGGTTCTTTTCCTTACTCTGCACTTGAGCTGCAAGATTTTATCAAAGAGCTATCAGAGAGATAAGTTGATATAGTAAGACAAAGCTTATTTCATTGGTAGTCTGCACTTCTTCATTTAACTGACCAGTGAATCATCATTGTATAGGATATTGTCAGTACTGTAGGATGAGATCATCCTTGTGCTTAAAATGCCCTATGATGTTAAATCAGATAGTCATCTGAACTGCTTTAACCTGGCAAATTTGTAAGTTTTTTTTTATTATTATTCTGTACTTTTTAAGGTAATATAGCTCCACAGTCTTTTGCTAGACATGCAAAAGAATTACCCCTCAACAATTATTACCTTTCAGGTTCCTCCATAATACCATTAATACCCCAATTTCTAAGTAAAAGTAGAATAGTATGCATTAATTTGCAAGATGATTTTTTTTTCACTGTTTCTGGGGTACTGTTTGTAGCTGTAACAGGTTTTATTGGTACACACATCTTGCATGGATTGCAATCAGGTATTTTCCCTTTAAAATATTTTTTATTATATTAAGATTTTCATTCATTCATTCATACAGAACTGAGGTGCAAGCCAGAGGTGCAGGAGTGGTGAGAGGATTCACCAGGGACTGTAGAACAGGCAGATTGACAAAATACACTGCTGAGGGGAGCAGCGGAAGCCAAGAGGAATAAAATGGGATTGACTACTATATCCCAATGCTGTGCAGGCTTGTTAGTCTTGTTATTTCCTTTAATCTAACCAACCTGAAGCTAAAATTATTCTGTTTTCAGTTATCAATGACTTTCTGTTTGCATTTTGTAATGAGAGAATGGGAGGCGGGGCGGAGAGAGGGCTGGGAACCTAGTTATTTTATTTGCATGTGTATTTTTTCTTCTCCTACACATTTCCTGAATTGTTTCTTTATGTAATAGGATCTTTTTTCCTGAGTGATCATTTTTTCCAGTTGTTACACAGCTTTCATCCAGCCCTAGGTCTTTCTGCTCTTCTCTTCAGCTGTTGCTGGTTCAGGGCTTATAACTGTAAAAACTGAATTCTGTTTTCTTAGTATATATTGCAGCTACCTTATTTGACTTTAGTCCCTTTGTGTTACTTAGACGTTTCAAATCACTTTCTCTAGAAGTTCATTCGGTTGATTCCCTGCTATCCTTTAAAAGTTCTCCCTCATCATTTCCAGGTAGATGTACCTTTCCTTTAAATGTCCAACAGATTCTTATATTTCATTATGAACTTAGTGCTCAGCAGAATTGATGTCTGCATTCACTGGATTGAGTAAAATTAATTCAAGGGCTTTATTTAATACCACACAGAGAGAGATACTCACCTATTTCCATGCATACATGTCTTATGTGTGCACACACCATATTAAACTAAATCAATGTAAACTGATGATTCTCTTTCAGAAACATGATGGCCACTTCACTGTTATCCAGTTGGTTGGCATGCTGCGAGGCATTGCATCAGGAATGAAGTATCTTTCTGATATGGGTTACGTTCATCGAGATCTAGCAGCTAGAAATATATTGGTCAACAGCAACTTAGTATGCAAAGTTTCTGATTTTGGTCTCTCCAGAGTGCTGGAAGATGATCCAGAAGCTGCTTATACAACAACTGTAAGTTTGCATGTCCTTTTCCAATATGGATTTTATACTTTTGTTGTTTAAATGCTATTTGAGTAATTCTATTTTCCCCCCCTAATTTGCTTTTGGGGTGCATTTGCTTTTATAATTGCCTAGTTTTAAAAAAAGCTTGTTGATTATTTTTTTCTTCATTGTACTGGGTCTTGACTTCAGGGTCATGTTTGAGATCTATGTCCTGAGTACCCTACAGCTAATCTACTTTTGCCTGAGGTATTTTTGATTCTTCAATAAGTATTTTATTAACATGGAGTTTTGCAAATGCTAATGTGCATTTATTTAATATCAGTGATAGTGAATAATGTTGACAAAGAGGTGTTATGAAATGACATTTTTCCCCTTTAGAGTTATGGAATGATCTAATCATGCTCAAAATATGTGTGTGTGTGTGTGTATTTGTTTTTCTGAAGATATGTAAGTGCAATCAAAGTCCATCAAATGATGATGTGGGTCAAATGTCAATAGAAATAAAAGGCTAAAGTTTTAAGACTAAATTATCATCTTCAAATTATAGAATTTTAATTCATAAATACATTAAGCATTTCTGAATTCCTAAAACACATTTATTCCATTGATCTCTTGGTGTTTTGAGAATTTCAGTCTCAAAATCTCTAACTACCTTAAAGCTGATGGATCTGTAAAAAATTTTTTACCATATCTGTTTTTAAGAAATAAAATTCTCAGCATTTGACAGTGCCGATGAAAAATAAGTAATAATTTTTCAAGATGTTTTAATTCCATTCTCTTTTCCTAACCTTACACATTATTTTAAAAGAGAATCCATTTATTTAGTTCTCTTTTACTTCATTTTCTGAGTTTTTTTCCCAAAACTCAATTACTTCAGAATAGGTACAAATTTAATATTATAAATGAAGTAAAATATACCTTACTATGGTTTCTTTGTAGTAATAAAATAACATCGTCAGTAATTTCTACAACAGGGAAACTCAATTCTATGGAAAATAATGTCTCAGAGTTTGATGTATTAAAATGGACTGGAAAACGTGATGTAGACAGCCATCCTAGATAACCAGAATATTAACACTGCTGAAAGTACTTCTGTAAAGTTATAGATTAAAATATACATTTCTGAATGTGAGAGTTATCAATTAAGTGGCAAATAGTATAATCCAGTGCTTTTTATAAATAATTCCAAAACTATGTAGTAGCTCAGAGTATCATGGGGTACATAATATCATACATTAAGTATTCCCCTTTATAGTGAACAAGGATATTTAGTAGTTAAAATAGCAGTATTCTTGCCTTCAAAGAGATTCCCCTTTGACAGGGTAGCAGACTCATGCTTTCTTCCTGTTCAGTGTATTAGTAGCTGTCATAATAGCTGAAAAGTAAGATAGAAGTGTCAAAAAGCAGATGACTGGAGAAGACATCACCAAAAAAATGAACCATAAGCAGAACTTTAGGGAGAAAGCATATAGAAGAAACAAGTTGGAAAAAAGATGGAAATGCGAGGACTTGCGTGGGCAGGTTGATGGAAACAGAGGCAAGAAACAAAGAGGGGATTGTTTCTTTTTTTTTTTTAAGATTTATTTATTTATTCATACAGAAATGGGGTACAGGCCAGAGATGTGGAGTGTGATAGGATTCACCAGAGACAGAGTGGGGAGCAGAACAGGCAGATGATCAAAGTACACTGCTGAGGGGAGCAGCGGGCGGATTAGGAGAGGTCTGCCTCGCCATGTGGTCACCTCCGGGGCAGGTGGGAATCGAACTCATGCGAAAGTGGCTTTAGCTTCTCAGTGCAGTGCTTTAACCCGTTGCGCCACCAGGGAGGGCCCGGGACTGTTTCTTAAGAATAATTATGTAAGGGCCCTCCCTGGTGGAGCAACAGGTTAAGGTGCAGCACTACAAGCTGGCAGCAGTTGCTTCAGTACGAGTTCAGTCCCTGTCCCAGGAGGTGACCCACATGGCATGGCAGATCTCTCTTATCTTGCTTGCTGCTCCCCTCAGCAGTATATTTCATGGATCTGCCTGTTCTGCTCCCACTCTATCTCCGGTGAAGCCTCTCACCACCCCTACACCTCTGGCTTGTACTTCAGTTCTGTATGAATAAATAAATCTTTTTTTAAAAAAATAAATATTGATTAGTTTAGATAGGGGAGTGACATTATTGACAACAGTGTGAAAGAAAGGATTGAAGGACAAAAGGACTGGTAACTGAGTGAACACTATTGCAACATATCAGAAAGACAGATTTTAATTAGGACAGTGACAGAATAAGGAAGAGAGGAGAGAATGGAAAATCATTGTGAATGTATAATTTACAAGCTTCAGTAACTAGTTAGATATGAATTATGATGAAAAAGAAAGACTTAAAGATGACACCACTATTTATAGATTAAGCAACTAGTTGAATGGAGATATTATTAATCAAGACAGATAGTACCTATTAGAGATGAACTGGCTAACAGTAGTAGATTACAAAGCAAAATTGCAACAAAAAGCTATTGGTATTCTGTCTCAAAGTCATAAAGATAATGCCAGATTGAATAGTGGTATTCTGTTGAAATTTTGTGTAAAATTTTTATGGCTTTATATAATGTAGTTAGGCCCCAAATACTTATTATATTTTCTGTTAAAAGAAACTAGATGCATAGAAACCTTTACTTTCTAGTGATATATATCTCAGTTTTCCAAATCCTGTATAATAGTATAGAAAACAACGGTCATATATATGACAATGTTTCTTTTTAAATAAAATAACCATATGAAAATAATTTGAAGAGAAAGATCAATTGACTTATTTTGTTAAGTATGATTCCATTTTTCAGTTTTAGTTGTATGTAACCATTCTTAGAAGGTATCATTTATCTCAAATAATTTTGATTTTCTTTTCCTCATTCTAAGTGTAATTGCTATTTCCTCATTAAAACAAATATTTTTATAATCTGAATCAGGGAAGATTTGGAGGAAAAGGAGGCTTTTGGAAGATTTTAAACCTTTTAAAAACAGGAGACATTACAAATAAGCATTTTTATTTGTAATCTTCAAGGAAATAATCCTTAGAACAATATGCTACATGGAAACCATCTCTTCCTAACAAAATAGGGGCAGAATAAATGACATTGTTTTATTGAGATGACTTTGAAAACTTAGGGAGCTACATATTAGAACCAAGAATGTTAGGAATGACTAAAGAAGATAGACTAGAAAGATAGAGTGACAAGTGTGACTTCAGGACTTGGTTTTGGTTCTGAACTAGTCCTGATGTGGACATTGGAGCCAGGTGGCATAGTCTGTAAGAGAGATCACAGGAGATTTTACTCTGCCAACAATGAGTTAGTTCTTTAGAGCCCTGTTTAAAAGTACATATATATGTATATAATGTGTAAGAATATATTACCTAAAATACAGTTAAGTCCTCACTAATCTGGTTGATTGGTTCTTCAAAGCTATGATTTTAAGCAAATCTACATAAAATGAAACCAGGTTCTTGAATGGCATTCTTTTCATGCAAGTGCAGCCAAGATTTTTATTCTCAGTGTTTTAATAAAATGAAGTTATTAGGATTTATTAGGGATCTGATGTATACTAAAGTAAATTAAAGGATGAGATTTACAGTTAATTGTACACTAAAGCAAAGGATAAGATTTATAATTGAACATAAGTAGAAAAGCTAGTATTTCTTCATCCAACTGTCAGTGGTTGATACACCCTGCTTGGTAAAGCTAAAATGTTAAGACTTTACTTCTAAGAAAGAACTGGTAATTCCATGGAAGCCAATAAATGTTCATTGTGGATCAGATCTGGAAAGTAGAAAAATGAACAAAATGTAGGTTTTAGACAACAACTGAGTTCTTGCTTTTTTATGAATGCTATGAAGAGCTTCCTAGACATGTAGTAAGAAAAGATTGGTGAGTGACGATGAATAATTATGAACACATAACAATGCATATTTAATTGGCAAAATATGGATAACTTAATCTTCACAAAACATACTGAGTGAGACTTGTTCTCATGTGATTACATGAGCTACTACCTGATTATTTAGATACTCAGAATCTCTTCCTTTTCTGAATGTGACACACATTCACATGGACAGCTGTTACATATCCAGTTCTAAAGGAAAGACTCTCTCTCATTTGAATATTGCTAAGCAACGAGTCTTAAACATATACTGAAAATGTTAACATTCTTGACTTTAATTAATGGAATGATGCCATATTTACCAAAAAGGACATTAAATATATATTACGGCTGACACTTTTCTGGTTTAGGAATTAAGTTTTATTTATAATATAATAACATTTGTTTTTGAGATTTTTCAATTATAATTCCTTATAGTTGAAAGATAAAAAGACATGATGAAAAAAAAAATCATTTTGTCACAATAGTTACTAAAAATTATGGTTCCTTAACGCTGACTTTCAGTTGTGCTCATTTTGTTGTCTAGGGGAAAATTTGATTTTCCTTTAACAGCAATAATTCCCTATAAGCACTTTGTTGGTTAAAATGTAGAGCTTCATTATTAACAACACATATTTTCTGATAGTCACAGATTTGTTAACAACTTAATCCAATTGACTTTGCATTTCATAAGATTATTTCCAAGCTCCAACTCTTAATCTCCCCTATTCTGCATAAGATAAGAGAACATTCTGGTGTCAAATACGGCATAGCCTATAAGACAACATGGAGATAATTATTCCAAATAATGGGTCAACATGAGGGATACATTTATTTGTGTATTTTAAAGTTTCACGGAGATTTGAATCGTCTTCCTTCTTTACCTAATTCAAGTGTTTAAACTTAAGTTGACTTTTTGACTTGAATTTTAAATCTTGAGATATGCCCAACTTCAAGACTAGAATTGGACTCTTATGGTGAACTAGTGAAGTATATGTTGATGCTGATTTATAATGACACATGCCTGAAACTTATGATGGCATAGTGCCCTGTTACATAGGTGACAAATAGAATAAACATTTTAGTATGAATGAGCTAAAAATTATTTT